GCGCAAGCCCGGCGCCGGCCTGGAGGAGGAGACGGGCCGCCGCCACTCGTGGCATGATGAGGAGGACGAGGCCTTCGACGACAGCCCCGACGGCAAGGCCAGGGAGACCAAGAGCCAGGAGGGCGAGGAGCCGGCGCTGGCCGGCGGGGGCCTGCGGCGCTTCAAGACGATCGAGTTGAGCACGGCCGAGCAGCGGCGCGCCGCGCTGTTCCCCGACGAGGAGCCCGAGCTGGAGATGGAGAGCCTGACCGACTCGCCCGAGGACCGCTCGCGCGGCGAGGGCTCCTCCAGCCTGCACGCGTCCAGCTTCACGCCCGGCACCTCGCCCACGTCCGTGTCGTCGCTGGACGAGGACAGCGATAGCAGCCCGAGCCACCGGCGCGGCGAGGGCAAGCAGCCGCGCAAGGCCCGGCACCGCAGCCACGGGCCCCCGCTGCCCACCATCGAGGACTCCTCGGAGGAGGAGGAGCTGCGCGAGGAGGAGCAGCTGCTGCGGGAGCAGGAGCGGCAGCGCGAGGCGGAGCAGCAGCAGCGCAAGGGCGCGGGCCGCAAGTCCAAGAAGGACAAGGAGGAGCTGCGCGCGCAGCGCAGGCGCGAGCGGCCCAAGACGCCGCCCAGCACGCTGTCGCCCATCGAGGACGCGTCCCCCACCGAGGAGCTGCGCCAGGCGGCCGAGATGCAGGAGCTGCAGCGCTCCTCCTGCTCCGAGTACTCGCCCAGCCTGGAGTCCGACCCCGACGGCTTCGAGATCAGCCCCGAGAAGATCATCGAGGTGCAGAAGGTCTACAAGCTGCCCGCCGCGGTGTCGCTGCGCTCGCCCACGGAGGAGCCGCCGGCTGCGCCCGAGGAAGGCGCTCGCAGGCCGCTGAAGAGCGCCAAGGAGATGTACGAAGACGTGATGCACCGGGCCCCCAGGTACAGAGCGTTCCCGGGCGCCGGCGAGCGGGACGAGGCGTTCGAGAAGGAGCCGCTGTACGGCGGGATGCTGATCGAGGACTACATCTACGAGTCGCTCGTGGAGGACGCGTTCGCGGGGCCGGACAGCAGCCCACTGGCGGGGCCGGAGGAGGAGCACGGACTCGCGCCGCAGCGGGCGCGGGAGCCAGAGGTGAGGCTTGTGGAGCCCCTGTATGAGGACCCGATGCAGAAGATCACAGACTTCCAGAAGGAGCTGTACGAGCTGGAGGGCTTGCATGTGGCTGTGCCTCAGGAAGACATCGTGTCGAGCTCCTACATCATCCCGGAGAGCCACGAGATCGTGGACCTGGACACCCTGGTGACGGCCGCTGGCGAAGCAAAGGAGCTGCTGGACGCCGACGCTGCCTACGAGCAGCTCCTGAGGCGGCAGCAGCTGCCGCTGAGCCCTGGAGCCCCCGCGGGGGACGAGATGCCCGCGGCCGGGGTGGACCTGGACCTGGACCTGGACCGCGCGCCCGACGCCTCGCTCACCTCCAGCGTGCTCTCCGGCGCGTCGCTGACGGACTCCACCAGCAGCGCCACGCTGTCCATCCCGGACGTGAGAATCACCCAGCACTTCTCCACAGAAGACATCGAGGACGAGTACGTGACGGACTACACGAGGGAAATCCAGGAGATCATTGCCCACGAGTCGCTGATCCTGACCTACGCGGAGCCCTCGGAGAGCGCGGCCTCGCTGCCGCCCTCGGACTCGGCGTCGCCCTCGCTGGCGTCCTCGCTGTCCTCGCTGTGCACCACGGACAGCTCCTCGCCCGGCGCCGGGCTGGACGCCGCCAGGGGCGAGGGCTCGGCGGACGTCTCCTCGTCCACCTACCTCCCAGGAAGCGTCATAGACTACCCGGAGGAGATCAGCAGACCCTCGGGGCCGGCTGGCGCCCGGGAAAGCGGGGCCGGCGCGGGTCCCGCCGCGACCTCCGTATCCGGCGCGCCCCCTCCAGTCCCAGAGCCGCCGGGAGCTGAAGCGGACTGGGCTGAGTCTGAGAGAGAGCCAGTGGGAAAAGCTAAGAGGGAAGCCAGCCCTGGGGTTATTCTGGAAGGGTTGGAAGCTTACAGAGATGAAAGGAAGGAGTCTGAGGCCGAACCAAGGAAAACATCCTTATCGGAGGCCGTGTCTGACCAGCCGTTGGCCCCTGCAGCGGCACCCCTGAGGAAGGAGCCGCCGGCAGCGGCACACTTCCCATCCAGGGAGGTCTTGCCTCGCGGAGGCCCACCGTCTCAGTTTCCGCGGGGCAGCCCCTCGGTGTCCTCCCTGCCCGCCAAGTCTCGGCCCTTCCTCCGAAGTTCTTCTCTGGATGTTTCAACCCAGCCTCCTCCCCCACCTCCGCCCCCACCCCCAAACGCACCCCGCCCGCCCCCCCCCCCCCCCCCACCCCCCCGCCCGCCGCACCGCCGCCCACACCCACCTCCCCCACCTCCGCCCCCACCCCCTCCTCCTCCTCCCCCTCCTCCTCCACCTCCTCCTCCTCCATCTCCTCCTCTCTCTCCTCCTCTACCCCCTCCTCCTCCTCCCCCTCCCCCACTGCCCCCACCCACATCGCCTAAACCAACTGCTCACCCTAAAAAAAAGTCCACAGTTGCTGCTCCCCTGACTCCAGCTACCGCAGCGGCGCCTCGGACTGACGCTGTCACTCCTGCAGAGGCGGCAGCCGTCCCTAGGAGTGATGGGTCGCCTGGAACAAAAGTATGCACCCCCGCACCCCCTCCTGTCCCCCCTAAGCCTGCCTCCATTCCCTCTGGACTCGTTTTCACACACAGGCCCGAGCCAAGCAAACCACCCATCGCTCCCAAACCAGCAGTTCCTCAGCTCCCGGGAGCTGTGCAGAAACCGAGGGACACACAGCCCAAACCAACAGGTCCACCGTTAGCTTCGGGCATGACCTTGAGTCTGGAGACCTCCGCGGAGTATACATTGCCTTCCCCCACCTCCCCCCTCTCCCCACACTCCAACAAGTCATCACCAAGGTTTGGCAAGTCCCTCATGGAAACGTACGTGGTCATTACACTGCCATCAGAGCCCGGGACGCCCACCGAGTCCTCAGCTAGCCAGGCAGTTACCAGTTGGCCCCTGGGATCCCCCCCACAGGAGCTGGTTTCCATCGACCCTGTGTTTTCTGTAGTTCCTCCTGTGAGCTCTGCAGAAATCCAGGGTTCTTCCCAGCCAGCCCTGTACCTCGCAGGAGCTTTGGAGACATTCTCAGTTGCCCCTGTGGTAATGCTGCCTTCATTTCAAGGAGCTCCGGCTCCACATTTTCTTCCAGCTGAGGTCTACAAGGCGGAGATTCCAGAACCCAGACAGACCATCGCCAGCATTGGTCCTGGCAGTGTTTCCGTATCAATTCCTCCAGAGCCTCTTGCTCTAGATAACCTACACTTAGAGAAGCACAAGGAAAATGGAAAACTGCCTCTTGTTGGGGATGCCATTGACTTGCGTACCGTACCCAAAGTAGATGTGAAAGCAACTGAAAAATGTGTGGATCTTTCTGCATCTGCTGTGGATGTGAAAAGACAGGCCATGGCAAATGACATTTATGGGAGACCAATGAGTGCCGTCCAGCCTTCTGTCATCAATCTCAGTGCAGCATCATCAGGGGTGACTCCAGTCTCCCTGGACATAGAGACAGTGACAGTTGTTGCATGCACAACTACTGCCAGTTATACCTCAGGCACAGAAAGCCTGGTGGGCATAGAACACATGATCCCAACCCCACTGCAGCTCACTACATCAAAGCATGCTGAGCCCCCATACAGGCTGCCCAGCAGCCAGGCCTACCCAGCACTTAGGGAGGAAGCACCAATAAATTTGTCTCTAGGTCCTTCCGCACATGCAGTAACATTGGCTGTTACAAAACCTGTCACTGTGCCTCCTGTTGGAGTCACAAATGGATGGACTGATAGCATGACCTCCCAGGCAATCCCTGATGGGGAAGTAGTGGATCTCAGCACAACAAAGTCTCACAGAACTGTTGTAACCATGGATGATTCTACTTCAGGTGTGGTGACCAAAATAATAGAAGATGATGAGAAACCTGTTGATTTGACTGCAGGAAGAAGGGCCGTGTGCTGTGACATGGTCTATAAGTTCCCTTTCGGCAGAAGCTGCACAACCCAGCAGCCCGCAACCACTCTTCCTGAGGATCGCTTCGGTTATCGGGATGACCACTATCAGTATGACAGGTCTGGGCCCTACAGTTATAGAGGAATTGGTGGAATGAAAGCCTCCATGTCTGACACTAATTTAGCAGAAGCTGGGCATTTTTTCTATAAAAGTAAGAATGCTTTTGATTATTCTGGCGGTGCTGATGCAGCAGTAGATCTAACTTCAGGAAGAATTTCTACAGGTCAGTATGACGTGGCCACAGACCTGTCCTTGAAATATTATGCTGTCCCTCATCTCATTTCAGGATGAAAATGTCGTCCCCATCCCAGTTTTGTTACATTTTCTCTTTTCTTTGGAGGTTCTGGCAGCATATTTTGGAGTACATGTGCGCTTCTGTTTCTTCGTTTATTTTTTATTTGTCCCAATCAGACAAATTGTCGCCTGCATGTGCCTGCATGTTCGACGTTGCTTTTGTTCTGCACCTAATTAGGTTACCCCGTGGATTTGCATGCAGTCCCATTCGTTGTGTTCGTCAAGATGAGAGGGCTGTCAGACACAAAACCCATCGTTCATGTGAGAACTGGACTATAACTGTACCCTGTGTTTCAGGTGAGGTAATGGATTATTCAAGCAAGACTACAGGTCCATATCCAGAAACACGACAAGTCATTTCAGGAGTTGGGATTAGCACCCCACAGTATTCCACAGCAAGGATGACTCCACCTCCGGGACCCCAGTATGGTGCAGGCAGTGTTTTGAGGTCGTCTAATGGTGTTGTATATTCTTCGGTAGCAACTCCAATCCCCTCTACCTTTGCTATCACCACACAACCAGGCTCCATTTTCAGCACCAGTGTAAGGGATTTGTCTGGCATTCATACAACCGACTCAGCGACTTCGTTGTCCGCCCTGCACCAGGGCCAGCCGATGCCGAGATCCTATTTCATAGCCACGGGTGCATCTGAAACAGACATTGCAGTAACTGGTGTTGACATCAGTGCCAGTTTGCAAACAATTACTATGGAAACTCTGACTGCAGAGGCAATAGACTCTGTTCCCACTTTGACCACAGCATCTGAAGTGTTTCCCCAAGTGGTGGGAGATGAAGGCACTCTTTTAATTGTCCCTGAAGAAGACAAGCAACAGCAGCAACTGGACTTGGAGCGTGAGCTCTTGGAATTGGAGAAAATCAAGCAACAGCGCTTCGCTGAGGAACTGGAGTGGGAACGGCAGGAAATCCAAAGGTTCCGAGAACAGGAAAAGATCATGGTTCAAAAGAAGTTAGAGGAGCTGCAGTCTATGAAGCAGCACCTGCTCTACCAGCAGGAGGAAGAGCGGCAGGCCCAGCTGATGATGAGGCAGGAGACCCTGGCTCAGCAGCAGCTACAGCTGGAGCAAATCCAGCAGCTGCAACAGCAGCTGCACCAGCAGCTGGAGGAGCAGAAGATCCGCCAGATCTACCAGTACAACTATGAACCATCGGGAACGGCTTCTCCCCAGGCACCCACGGAGCAGGCTATCCTGGAAGGTCAATATGCAGCCCCTGAAGGCTCTCAGTTCTGGGCCCCGGAGGATGTGACCACCACAGCTTCCGCAGTGGTGGCCATCGAGATCCCCCAGAGCCAGGGCTGGTACACAGTGCAGTCCGATGGGGTCACCCAGTACATCGCCCCTCCTGGCATCCTGAGCACTGTTTCCGAGATTCCTTTGACTGACGTTGTTGTCAAAGAGGAAAAGCAGCCGAAAAAGAGAAGCTCGGGAGCCAAAGTCCGGGGCCAGTATGACGAGCTGGGTGAGGGTGCGGCAGAGGATGCCCGGGGTTTTAAAAAGATTGTGGACAGTGGTGTCCAGACAGATGACGAGGATGCCGCTGACCGGAGTTACGCCAGCAGGCGGAGGAGGACCAAGAAGAGTGTGGACACCAGTGTCCAGACTGACGACGAGGACCAGGATGAGTGGGACGTGCCCACCAGGGCTCGGAGGAAAGCCCGCGTGGGGAAGTACGGGGATGGCGGTGCAGAGGCAGACAAGACCAAAGCCCCCTCCAAAGTCACCAGCATTGCCGTCCAGACCGTGGCCGAGATCTCTGTGCAGACTGAGCCCGTGGGAACCATACGGACACCTTCCATACGAGCCCGAGTGGATGCCAAGGTAGAGATTATTAAACACATTTCAGCACCTGAAAAGACTTACAAAGGGGGCAGTTTAGGATGTCAAACAGAAGCAGATTCAGACACACAGAGCCCTCAGTATCTCAGTGCCACTTCTCCTCCCAAAGACAAGAAGCGCCCAACACCTTTAGAGATCGGTTACTCATGTCACCTCCGGGCAGACTCCACCCTGCAGCTGGCTCCTTCCCCGCCCAAATCTCCAAAAGTCCTGTACTCACCCATCTCACCACTCTCATCAGGCAAAGCCTTAGAATCAGCCTTTGTACCTTACGAAAAGCCCCTCCCTGATGATATCAGTCCACAGAAAGTACTGCATCCTGACATGGCCAGAGCTCCCCCAGCAAGTCCTAAGACAGCCAAGATGATGCAGCGGTCTCTGTCTGACCCCAAGCCTCTGAGCCCAACTGCAGACGAGAGTTCCAGGGCTCCTTTTCAGTATACCGAGGGCTTCACGGTAAGAGTGTTTCTGTTCAGGTAGAAGACAGTGTGTGTGTTGATGCTAGTCGTGTGTGTGCAGACTTAGCAGGTAACCGGACAAATCGAGCACAAAATTCCAGGGGGGACTGTTACTCTGCAGATGTGGGAAGAAAATAGAAAAGCATGCCTTTGTTTAACACCAGAGGAGCGAAACAGATGAGGCAGAATGAGAAAGTTCATTCTTTCATGATTTGATGAAGTTGTGAGTTTTGTTCTAATGTAGAAATCCTCCCAATGTCCACTGTAGACTGATTTCAATGATATAATTTAAATGTATTCCCAAGCATAATAGAATACACATTGAGTATGAGCAGATAGGGTGATGGGTGACTGTCTTCGTTACTTCTCCCTCATTGCTGAGACAAAATACCTAATGCCCTAAATTAAGGAAGCAAAGGTTTATTTAGCTCACAGTTTGTGGAGGTTTCAGTGCTAACACCTGGCTCGAAGGCACGGCGGGATGGCACAGGAACAACTCTTTAGGGTGACAGAAGATAGCAAAAACAGCAAAAGCACAAAGTGGGGGGAGCAAACCTCCTTTCCCTCCTTATATTGTGTGCAGGCTACCTGCCCACACCCACACCATCTTGGTGCCCTCCTCTTGCACAGGCCCAGGATGCAGAACTGCTGAGTCACTTAGCCAAGCCTCTAGACGCCTCAAGTTGACACAGTGTCTCAACCATTACAGTAACCGTACATTTAGATGATGGGTACTGCAGTCCCCTCGTGGGAGTTTGTGGTGGGCATCTGGTCTGTGTGCTCTGCTCTCAGACGCAGCATTTGAGAAATAGCTTAGATCCTTTACTGGTCAGAAGAAATGGTTTGTGGCAGATAAATCTATAAGGCGTCATCATTGTTCATCCGTACTTATTTGGTTCCCGGCAAATTGCTTAATCTAACTTCAGCTGAGCCTTAGTCATAGCAATTAGAGAAGCAAAAAAGAATTTTTACATTTAAGTAATATAGTTTAATTATTTTCTAAAATCATGGATATGCTTTAAGGGAAACAACATTCAGAGATATGTTAACCATATTTATGAAGATTACTATAACTGAGAATGAAAATAATCACCCTTAAAAAGTACATGATAAAGAAAATCTAATATAGAACTATTTAGAAGGTTGCTGATAGGTACATTAGTTGAATTTAGAACAAGCCTTCTATTCAAATTAGAAGAGCCCCTAATGCACTAGTTTCTGAATGCTAAAGCTTTTCAGTAAATATTTCTGTAGTATTGCTACATTTTCACTGACCAATATGTGCTTAACATTGGCTATGGGCTGAAAAAGATACCATTAGCTCTAACTGTAAATTAATTTATAGGTATATAGACATATCAATCACCATGCTGATAAATACATTAATTCATTAGTTTTATGATGGAATTTTGTTATGTTCTTTCTTAAACTGTGTATCTTACAATTAAAACGAAGGTCAGGGATCCCTAGTGAACTGAGATTCCACTGAGTCCATAGAGAGTTACGTTATACATAACTTTGTTTCTGGAATGAAATCTCCTGTGAAAAGTAATTGCCAATTCAGTTACAATAAATGGGCATTTATTTTTGTACCTCTGGCCTATAAATGCACTGAAAGAGTTATACAGAAAATTCAAAACTGTTTTGAACAGTATGTAAAAAGTAATACGCCAGGCTTCTGACATTAGAAAGAATAGGCTTTTCCAGTTGGTGTATTGATGATTTACTTAATATTCCTGTGCCCTCAATCAAATGAACTCAGTTAAGCAAGACACTCAAGTTATCAATATATTTCCTTGCAGTAGTCACTTTGAAATTGGAAGTATGCAAAGAAAGATACAATGAGCAGTAGAGGCTGTATTACCAATTATGAAAGCATTAAGTTACTGATATCTAGTGATAACCTAAGCTGAGTAGAATTACTAAGTGTTACTGAATTCGAAACACCGTGGGTGTTCAGAGCTCAGATGCACAACACAGTAGTTCTTCCAACTGGCCGAACTCGGTGCAGACTGGGGAATGCCAGTGTACAAGCTCTTTCACTGTGTTGTAGCATGCAAAGTAGACCATTTTATACACAGGGACAGTTTCCTATCACTTTAGGTACTTTAAGATGTAAATTTTATAATTAGTTTCTATCAAATATCTAGACAGATATTGATTCTATTTTAAACTAATTTCTTAATTGTCAGTGTGGCTAAGAATTAAACTAAAAAATAATTCCCTAAGTGATAGTCACCATGATATAAATTAAATTTAAGAAGTCTAGCTGAGTACTGTAGATTACAGACTGAATTTTCACAGGCCTTCAGAGTTGGAAAAAAATGTCACCACTCCATAGGCCCCGAGGCCAGGCAGAAGGACACTTACTGCTGTGTGAAAGATAGGGATGCCAGTGGTGGCGGACCTTTTAGAGCTTTCAGTGATACACGGTGGACTCCTTCCACTTCGGTCTTTCTCGTAGTCAGTTCTGAGATACAGTGGGAGTGACTTTCTGGATGGACCTCAGATTGTGTCACTTTCTGCACCAGCCAGGAGGGCGTCAAATGAGGCTGCTTGAGACATTGCTCAGAAAGGCCCACTGATGGCACCCGTGCCTCCTCATCTTACCCTCATCCTGTCCTGTGGGTGAACCACTCAGGCCCATCTCAGCCACACCGGGACCTCCCAGCAGATCTTCTGGTGTCCCTCACCCTATGTCAGGTTTCTGCTCAGGCTTCCCCTCCACAGAGACCCCAGAGTTCTCTAAAGTTATGCCTATCACAGTGAGTTCACTTTTGACCCTGCATGTATGCAGATTGCTTATTAAATATGTTCTGCATTTCATTTTTTCCCACTAGAACATAAACTCAATTTATTTATGAGAAAGAATTTTTTGGTTCATTGTTGTATTCCCAGTGCCCAGAAAGATACCTGACTCATCATAGGTTCTCTATAGTAATTATTTAATTGCATAAATTAGTTATAGATAACTCTGTCAAGCTGTTTACATTTTGGAGGACTTCAAAAATTTGTCCCCACCCCAAAAAAACAAAACAAAGCAAAACAAAATTTGAACCACCTTAAACAAAAGCAAAAGCAAAATAAGTTCATCCTCCTAGTACACATTTTGTGTAATTCAGTGTTACAGTATTTCCTCCTGCTGTCTTCTCTTTGCTCTATTTCCCCTTGTTGAATGTATAACTGTATACTCTGCCAGGATTCATCTGAGTGCAGTATGTTCACACGTGTCTATGAATTACCTCTAGCATCCTGTCTAAGATGAATTTGCAAACCAGAGCATGAAACCAGTTCTTCATGCCCATTCTGTTTCTTCTGCACAATGCGACTGGTCCGCATCAGCACAGTGGGTCACCAGTAAGTTTAGGAAGGAAAGTTAAGCAAGTGCCCTGCAAAGTCGGGGAGGAAGGGACAGGGCCCACTGGGAGAAATGGCAGTGAAAAATCGAATACTGTTGCATGACAGTGAAGAGAGGCTGTTCTGTTCTGGATTCATCACTCGAAGTGCAACAATTGTAATGATATCTCCATCAAGAAAAGTGGTACATTTCAGGTAGTTCCTGTCTTGTTAGCAATGATACCCACTACTTTTTGTGCTAAAAATGCTACATATAAAATATTCTCACCTCTGTTGGGCACAGACTATTAAGTAGTAGAACTGTTTTGTGCTATTTTCATACCTGTTAAACAGTTTAAGAGGGTTTTTCTTAAGTATTAAGCAGACCCTTTATTAAAATCCTTTTGTTCTACAGTTTAAGCCAGGATCCTATTGAAAAGCAGATGGTATTCATGAGCTGATTGCTGTAAGAATGTGTTTTGCTTCACTGGTAGCTGTTGTGATAGCTATTTTTAAGATATTTTTTGGAACCCTCCAGTGTCTGTTTCTGAGAGTAATTTCCATAGCCTAAATTAAATTTTATTTTTGTCAAACTGTCTTATATTCTCCCAAAATAGAAAGATTTAAGGAATAAACGTCATGATCCCCAAATTGGTTATGAAAAATAACACATAGTAGGAGTTATTTTTCATTTCCCTTTTTGAAATCAACATAAGAAATCAGTCTATTAAGATTTTGACTAAATCATCTGTTTTATAATAGTAGTTTTTTAAATATGCCGTAAAATTTTTAATGTCTTACATTTCTTTATGGTTAAAATTTTATACCATGAAGTCCAACTATTGTAAAATTAGAATAGGATATACTATTTTGAAGTATTTTTCAATATAAATAGCAATAAAATAATTTAAAGTCAATGATTAAGAGTATATTAATAATGACAAATAAATGCATATATATATAAGTTGTCAATGAGTAAAACCCAGAACATTTTCATGTTATTCTCCATTCACTGTTTAATAGTTAATATTTGCTGCTTTGTTATAATCAATTTTTAGAATGAATTTTTAAACAAATCTTCAGATACTGAAGGAAAGATCATTTTTGCTATTCTTTCCAGACATCCATATTTCATAATGTGAAAGTGATTCTAAGAAACACATTTATATTCCTATTGTTCCATGAAAGACCTCTCCCAAAAGGTCACAATGAATGCTCCAATGTGCCACTTTAACAAAAGGAAGTTCTGGTTCACCAAGCATTGATTATTACTGGCATAATTTATTAAAATATGACATTCTTTAACATTATCTTCCTAAGTATTTCATCATATTGATTTCCCACCAATTCACTTCATTTTCTATTTTTGAATAGTAGTGAACTTTATATTTGGCTAGAGAATAAAGCTATACACACAGTCTCTCTAATATATCTCCTCCAAAAACACACACACACACACACACACACTACATGCACATACCATATGCACACACTATTGTGTATGTTTATATTTCTACAAATTACTAATTGCTTAGGATTTAGTAATATGCTGCATTAGCTGTTACTGAGGAAAAACTGAGTAGACTATGATGATTATAATATAAAAATCAGGAAAAGTTAGGGGCACATTTTGAGATGTTATTTATATAATAGCATTACAGT